GCCCCCCCAGCCTCTTCCTTCCACTGCCCTCCCTCCCCTGCAGGGCTTGAGCACACAAGGCTAAACCGCCTAGGCTCTGGTGTGGGAGGGAAATGTGGGGAGTGTCTTCAAGGACCACATCAGTGAGGGCTGTTTGGTTTTGGTTTTGGTTTTGTTCTGGTTTTTGCTTCTCACTTGTATGTGGCCCTTGACTGATTCTTGAAGCCCCCAACCCAAAAAATGTTTCCCACCCCTGTTATATACAAAAATTTGCTTACATTATCCAGGCTGGTCCTTCTTCACTTTCCTATACTACTATCTCTGAATATCTAGCTTTCTCTTTTCCTTGCCATCCTCTAGAATGGATTATGGTTACTTGATTCATAATTTGATTATATATTGTTCATATCTTGTTTCTCTCTCGCAGGGGTGGGCAATAATTTTTGATGGGGGGGGCACTCCAAGAATTTGGAAAGTGGTCAAGGGCCGCACTCTTCCATGATTTTAACGGAGGAGGCTTGGGGTCTGGGATGGAGGTACGGTGCAGAAGGGAACTCTTGGGTAAGGGAGAGAGTTTGGGTGAAGGAGGCAGTTGTGACCTGGGGCATTGGAGTGGGGTGCAGGGGGTTGGACTGTGACCTAGGCCAAGGAATTGGGTACAGAAGGGGATGCAGGGGATTGAGGTGCAGGGATTTGGGTTGTGAGCTAGGGTAGGAGGGGACTGATCTGGGGCAGATCTGGGAGGGGATGTGGGTGCAGGAGAGGGTAGAGGATTTGGCTATGTAGAGTGGGGGGCAGAGTGTTGGGGGAAGGAGGTGCTGGGATGCTAGAGGCAGGCTCTAGCCAGGAGACTTACCAGCCAGCAGCCCAGCACTTTCCTGAAGCAGCCTCCTACCTGCCCCATCCCTGCTCATTTAATCCATGTGCTCTGTGAATAACTACGAGCCCCGGCGGGGAAGGGGCATGGTTCTTCTTGGCTGCCTGTTATGGTAACAGGTAGTTCCTGTTGGCCAGTTTCTGGCCAAAAAACAACCAGTGGGATTGTGCTGGAGGCAGGTCACTTCTCCCATCTGGACTTACATATTTTTAAAGTGAAACTGCCCAGCAGCCGCTTTTCTGAGCAGCATGTGGCTGGAGTAAGGCAAGTGGGGAAGCCTGCCTGGGATTCCTTGCTGTGTCCGTGGGCCGGGTCTGGTGCCTTGGCAGGCCGAATCTGGCCCACGGGCTGTATTTCACCCAGCCCGTGGGCTTCAAGCTTCTGTGGAAGAATATTCACTTAAGCCGTCAATTTGTTGCTGCTGTTTTAAGCATGAAAATTTAAAGCTTGCTGATGTTTTAGAACTATATGGGAACATGGATAGCCATTACTTTTGTTATCCTCATCTATCTTCCATTCCTCCCTGGCTGCTTAAGCCTTTCATCCTTATGTTATCTCTTGTCTTTTTGTACTGGAAACTCTTTGGGGCACGAATTGTCACTTGTGTTTGTATGATGCCTAACAACATTTGATACCCACCTGACTTAGATGCATATTGCATTAGCACCGAAAGACCTGTTTGGCTTGTGAATTTGTATTATTATAAAGTAAGCTTATTTGCTATTTGGACAACTGCAAGAGCTATCCACCTGTGGCTTTCAGCAGTTCATGTTGTGATGGTGTTTACAACATATATTAAAGAACAAAAGAGAACTTTTGTCTCTCTCCCCTGTTTTTTCTATTTGATGGGCTGTACTTAAATCCACTGTGAAGCTCAGAGCTGTTAAGGGGTGAGATATGTAGGTCAGTCAACAGTTCTGTGCATGCCCTACATGGGAGAAAATTAATAATTATCAGAAAAAATGAGGAGTCCTATGGCACCTGAAGGATTAACAGATGTATTTGGGATAAGCTTTCATAGGCAAAAACCCCGTGTTGTCTTTGTTTTTGTGGATACAGACTAACACACTATCCCTCTGATATGCCATAGACCTGTGTGGTTAAAGAGATTCTCCTCCATCACCTCCTGTGATTTCCAAGAAGGAACATGGAGAGGACAGGAAGCACAGCCAAAAGAAGCTCAACTGAAACTGCCTCTATCCAGAGAAGAGATTAAATTGATAATTCAAACTGTACCAGGGTGTTATAACAAAGGGTGCTAATAACTTTTAAGAACATAAAAAAGACCATACTGAGTCAGAGCAAAGGTCCATCTAGCCCAGGATCCTGTCTACCAACAGTGGCCAATACTAGATGTCCCAGAGGGAGGGAACACAACAGGTAATCATCATGTGATCACTCTCCTGTCCTTCATTTCCAGACAAACAGAGGCTAGGGACCCCATTCCTATGCCTCCTGGCTTAATAGCCATTAATGGGCCTAACCTCCATGAATCTATCTAGCTCTTTTTTGAACCCTATTAAAGTCCTAGTCTTCTCAACGTCCTCTGGCAAGGAGTTCCACAGGTTGATTGTGTGCTGAATGAAGAAAAACTTCTGTTTGTTTTAAACCTGCTGCCTATTCATTTCATTTGGAGTTCTTATATTCTGGGAATAATAACTTTTCCTTATTCACTTTTTCCACACCAGTCATGATTTTATAAGCTTGGGAATCATTGATGATGTATAAGCACCCAGAATGAAACTCCTAGTAGAAAGAGTAGAGATATGTGCTAACTGTATCAAAAGTCATTAGTAGTATTGTGTGACTTAATGAACATATGTTTGGCTGAAGCTCTGAGGTGTCTTTTTTGCAGAGGAACTGCACAAAAGGAGTAGACAGATTTGCCTTTCCAGACCACCAGATCTCTTTGAGCAACTGGAGTAGCGGTTTCCCAGATGTCAAGCTCTGGGAGTGGCACAGGAAGATTTGACTGTAAAACAATATCTTCATTTCCCCTCTAACCCAGGCATGTTTAGCAAGTATGGCCATCTTCCTCAAATGTGCAATTATAGTTTATGAATGTTGAGTAAAGTGTTCTTAATTTTTAATTCACATTTTTATGATGAAATCTTTCTTCCCAGCTGATTGGGCTCATAATGGTTTTTTGCTTAATCGAATTGGCTCACTTAAATTCAAAGTGTGTGGTAGAGAGAGAGAGTGTGCACATGTGTGCTGGTTTGTTTTTAAATATGACTAGTTTTGTTCACTCAAAGGACAAAATCATTTAATGTTCTCTAACTAGCATATTTAACATGGGTTTTTTCCCCAATATAGGCAAGGTTCATCCAGGAATCTATAAATATAATACCTAATAAAGAAATAGCTTGAGAGCTTAAACAGACAAAAACACAAATCGTGTCCAAAGTGTGCAGGGGGATGGCTTTTGTTTTGAGGACTGTGTTTTTAAGGTGATTGTTAGATGTTAGCACTAATGGGCTTTGGGAATGAGGTGAACTTTAAGGAGGGATTTGAATGAGGGAGAGGAGCTGGCACCTAGCACTTTGGATCAGGAATATCATTTCAGGCATAGCAAGCAGCATGGAAGACAACACAGAGGCGAGGGAGTGATGCTGTAGAACGTGTTGGTAGAACACGATAGCAAAGGGGACGAGAGAGCAGACATGTAGCTAGAAACAAAACTCTGAAGGCGAGGGTTAGAAGGCTGCACTTGTTGCAGTATATAAGAGGAAGCCAGTGAAAGTGTTCAAATTTCAGAGGAATAATTTGTCTGAGCTATAGGTGTTAAAAACACAGCATTTTGCATCCTGGGAGCTTGGGATACCAGATCAGAGATTTACATTAAATCAGCACTGTCATAAAGGATTTTGTACTGCTTCAATGCATGGAGAGTTATAAATGCATATAGCATGCACAACAAAATAAGAATTTACCCAGCAATCCAGCTCACTTTGGCATTCTGATCCACCATTCCCTTACTGCCCCCAAGCTTTCCATTGGGCTCTGGCCATATCTTATTGTAGAGCAGAGAAACACATGTTTGTGATTTTGAGAATGTGTGGTGTTTGCTTCTTATTAATCCCATCAGCAAAAAGATGATCAGTGAAGCTGGTCTAAAGCATTAAAGTCACTTCAGCTTGTGCTGTCAGATTCACTGGTCAGCTGTGGTGATGGTGTTGGGTTGTTGTTGTTTTTTTCTTTTGCTAATTGGGTTTGGCATTTTCTTTACGACTTCCTTTTAGACTTGGTGCATGTAGGCCTTGGCCTTAAAGGAGAAAAAATGGCAGTGAAATTGTAAAAATATTCATTGACCTTTTTGAAACATGCAAGCTGAATATTAAACAAATCTCTGAAGTTCCCTGGGCCAGTGTCTTGAATCTGTTTTGTGCAGTGCCTTTTGTGAAAGTATTTAGTCACTGACATTCTTACGTAAGTAAAAAGAATGGGGAAATTCATCTGTGGTATAACATGTATAGAATTAGACTGAGGGTTCATCTAGTTCAACATGCACTTTACAATGGAGGTTAAAATGTTACTTTTTAGTGGCATCACCAGTGATTTGAATACTTATAGAAAACAAAAAAGGGATTTTAAGTGGAGCTGCTGTTGGTAAAGGTATCTTGAAATTTGACACACACCACTTTTATTACTATGGTATTCATTAGTAAAGTAAGGTGTTCTACTCTGATCATGTATTTGTTTTCAGTTTTAGAAGGACAGGAGCACATACCAATGCCACTGCAGTCGGTGTTACAGACACGTACGCATGATAAATGATATTGTATAAATCAACATTTCCTGACCTGAGGGAACTTTTTTTTTTTTTTTTTTTTTTTACTGTTTATCCAGTTTAAAAAAAAATAAAAAATGGCAGCTATGTTTAAGCACTGAGGACAGGATCCAGGAACTAAATCTACATGAGTGCACTCTTCTTCCCTCTTCCCTCCCAGCCCCCCCATGGAATTCCCTTGAGCACTCCAGGTAGGCACAGGGGTATGCTCACACTGATTCTGTTGTAGGAACTGACCCTTTGGCTATGTGGACACTTCACAGTTAACTCTAGTAATTAGAACCTGGGCTAGCTTACCTCAGTGGTGAGTGTCTCCCACTGCAAACACCTGCCTGATGACTATTCTCGCTGTTTCTGCCCCTGCTCCAGTGTTTGGGGACATATCCCATGGTTCTTCAAGCTGAGATGCTCTATGATTCGTTCCCAGTCAGTTGTCAATTGCAGGAGAACTTGTGTGCCTTTCAGGGGGAATTGTTGGAAGGATGTTGGAGGCCTATCACACTGAAAGGATTTTTTCCTTTTGCTATCACTAATGTGAGGGTTCCAGCCAAGTTATAGCAGAGAAGTGAAATCTGCCATTACTTGTGCAGTGAAAACATGCTCTTGGTTGTGCATTTGAACCTGCTTCCAGCACATGCTGTTGCCTTTAAAATGTGGTTCTACTCAGAAAAGTACATTTCAGAATCAGTTTGCAGAACAAACCACCTCTCGGTGAGCAGAGTCTCATCTGCATACAGGACTTTAGTCATTGAAGTAACTTTTCAGTTACTCAATAGTAATGTTGGCTCAGCAGCCGTGAGGGAGCGTGAACACTGAATTCTCTTCCTTTTTGTCAGTTATCAAGGGACATATTCCAGCCAGATTCACCTACCAAAAACAATGAAGGCAATAGAGTTACACAAGTGTTAATGTGAAGAAAACTTAGTCTGCAGAATCTGTGCCAATGGATGGGAAGGAAAGAACACAGTCTGGGTTTGCCCAGACAGCATTTAAGGAGGGGAAAAATTATTTTCAACTGAGCAAACTAGTTGTGGAATTTACTGAGACAATAAATAGGAAAGCTCACAGGGCCATTCTTACAAATCACTGTATGGCATAGAACTTAAACATCAACTGTCAGTGGCTATACAATGAAGTGTTTGAAAATCTCCTCCTGTCTAAAGACACACGGATTATTTTTAAATTATTCCGATTATTTTTATTAAATTATTTTGAATGACACATTCCTAAACACATTAAAACACAATAGTGCTTCTGACCTTTCATACCAGTCCAAGATAAAGACCTGAATTACTGTTGTAGTATATTGTGTAGTTTCTCTGCTATTGATTAAAGAAGTTAATAAAGGTTATGTAAATTACAGATAAGATGAAACAACTAAAATAGGACAAACGCAGTAATCCAAACAGCTAAAGCTATTTTTAAAGATAGCTGAAGTGAGCAAGTTTCCATTATCATGGGTTTTAATAACACATTTTTTTTAAAAAGGGACTTTAACTTTTTAGCCTCCTCTTTTTACATTAAATCTAAGACTGGATAGTTTAAGATAAAAATTACTGTTTGCCTTGGAGGCATGGGAATAGTACCAGATGCCCATTTAGTCACCTCTTGAACAGCTATATTTCTGTATTAGAAAAGGAAACTTAGATGCTTAATTGCAGCTAGAGAGTGATGATCTTTTCAGACAGCCATCTGTGCAAAAGCTCTTTGGATTTCTTTTAATCCTAATTTTGGGGCTGAACCTTGGGAGATCTGCCTTTTCTTTTAATCTTGCAGGGCTTGCTGTGCTTATAGCCCCTGTCCATGCCTACCCCAGTCCCATTTCCTCCATGCTCCTGGTCTTCTTGTGCCTCCAGGTCTCTCACCACTCTTTTCAGCCCCAAGGAGACCCCCTCCTTTTGCCCCCTATGTCCCATTTCCCCTAGTTCTTAGGGTGTCCACCTATGTAGTTCCCCCCATTCCATGTCCCCCCATTTCCATAGCTCTGAGGGCCTCCCACTTTTTCTTTCTTGGCCCAAAGGGAGATGGCATTGCAGGGGATTGGAGATACTCTTGAGCATGAATTGTCCACTAGCACCACCCAGCCTAGCTAGCTCCTGTGTGCTGGAGCATTTGCACTTGAAACTCCCCCATCCTGCCCGGTATCCCACCTTCCCTGGGACTGGGAAGGAGCACTGGTACAGGGATACTCAGTATTGGGGTGTGGCTCCTGTCACTTCTGGAGCCTCTGCTGACACTCCCCCCCCCCAAATCCCCTGTGAGCCACTGTATTCCACCCCTGTCTTTCTGGTGTTCACAGGCCACCCCTACCCTCTGGTTTCCTTGAGTTGCTGGGCTTTCCCTTGTTTTGTTGACCTGTTGTGGGGAATTTGGGAAGGCAGAAGGGGGCTGGGGTAGTGAGCGTGTTGAGTAGGTGGGTAGTGCAGGATACCAGAGGAAGGCTGGTGCCCCAAAATACAGGTTTACCCGGAGTGCTATTTGCCCTAAACTGGCCCTGGGGCTCTGAATACTGGTTTTGAAGTGAAAGTTGACCGAGGGGATTATAACACATTTGTCTAGAGTCAGGAAAGCCATGAAAAAAATAACTGGCCTGCTAATTGATAGAAAAACTTTCTGCTTGCCACCATGTTTAACATTTCATGGCTATGGAAGAGTTCACGCCCTTCCCTTTTCTGTCTCTGCTGGCTGAGCGACTGCCTCACACTAGTGTGTCCAGACTGACTGTAAGCCCTGAACTTGGCAGTTTACATTCAGCAGTACAACGCAAACAAGAGCTGAACCATTTAAAATGCACATTGCCTGTTGAGTTATTTAGCTGTGAAATGAATCCTGTGCTGAATAGCAGCCCTCGATGCCATTAGGCATCATGACCTTAGGCAAGCTGGGGAAAGAGGGCAGCACTTTAATTTTAACTTAATGTGTATAGATAATAAATATGTTACAGAGTTTGCACATCTGTCTGTGAGTCTGTTTGTTCAAGAACTCCTAACTTATAAGAATTTTAGGACCCATTAAATTTGATATGCAGCTTCCTCTTATCCTAACAAAGCAAGGTTGTGCCAGGAAACTGGAAAGGGCCTGGAATAGGCTTATTTTCCATAACAAGGGAGCTGATTGGAGGGTCACCTTTACTGCAGAGTGACCATGGGGGGGAGGGCAACCACATCAGGAAGAGCTTCATGTTGCCGGCCATTGGAATGGGTAAGTGACCCTGCTGCTCCAAACAATGCTGGACAGAGGGCTGGGCAGCACAACCTGTCCCTCCCAGAGAAGCCAGGGGCTGCCCACTGGGAGGCCAGAGGGGGCAGCTTCAGACCAGGGCTAGCCAACAGAGCCCTGACCTCAGACCATCTGGAGGGTTGGGGAGCAGTGGGAGGCCGTGGCTGGCACCCAGAGCCCCACCCTCTCCTTGGACTAGTTGGAGGGCATAGGGCAGCTGGAAGCCAGGGCTGGCCCCTGGAACTCATACCACCCCCAAGCTAGCGGAAATGGGAAGGCAGCTGCAGGTCAGGGCTGCCCCTAGAGCTGTAGCTCCCCAGACCAGCTGGAAGGAGGGGCAGCTGGAGCCCAAGGCACGTACATTTTCCTTTTAATTTCCAAAAAAAAATCCCACCCTCTCCCCACATAACTACATTAAGAACCTGAGCAACACAGGGTACATTTGCTAGTATATTTACATGTGAATGTAACTAACATTTCTAGCTTTCAACTGAGTACCCTCCTTCCTGTTTTAAAATGCCTATGATCTGGCTTATGTGAAGCGAGGTCCCAGTACCTAGTGAACTAATACAATGAAACCTTATGACCGCTCTATTTTGGCTGTACCTAACTCAGGGCCAGCTTCTGCTATTGTTACTACTAGGGCATTAGACAGACCTTGTTATGCAAATAATCCCCTTGATTTCAAATCATCTTCTCATGGAATAAGATGTGACTGAATGTGACCCAAGGTGACCAAATTAAGGCCTCAGTGTGTACATGACACTCTAATTTTATCAGTGTTGAAATCATTTCAAATGCCTCTCATCTTTCAATCATATTTTTAAAATTATTGGAAGAATGATCGATAAGATCCTTAGGAAGAAATGGTCTGTTAGCTAACCATATCCTTTCCCTTGTGATGGGCAGGGATGGTGTCCCTAGATTCTGTTTGCCAGAGCCTGAAAATTGGCAACGGGATGGATCACTTGATTATTACCTGTTCTGTTCATTCCCTCTGGGGTACCTGGCATTGGCCACTATCAGACCAGATTCTGTGTTAGATAGCCTTTTTGTTTACTCCATTATGGCTGTTCATATATGCCTCATTCTGTACACAGCTAACCTATATTCTTAATGCACTACTAGCAGATATGCACATTAAATATTGTTGCTCATGTCAAGTACAGTTAGGCCTTGTCTCCACCTACCAAAGGATTGGCGCACTAGTGATCAATCTTCTGGGATTCAATTTAGAGGGTCTAGTGAAGACTTGAACGCTGAAGGCACCTCTGTCGGCGCCGATACTTCTTGCTGTTGTGAGGGATGAGGGAAGTTAATGGGAGTATTTCTTCCGTTGACCTCCTGCTGCTGGGCATCCCAGAAAATCAATGCAAGGTACATCAACTCCAGCTACAGACCTGGGACTGCATATCTTGCATCGATTTTTCTCTAGACCTAGCCTTAGTTTACAGATGTAAACTTAAGCAGATTTTGGCATTGAAATGGGTTTGGGAAAATATCACACCCCAAAGTTACTCACCAGTTGTTTTCTACTATGGAGGATATTAATGGGGAGGGGGGGGACAACACAACCTACATTTTTCTTACTCTTAAAGTTACTCACTGTGGGCAAAGAAGTGAGTACAATTGTGCAAGGCTGTATTAAAAATAACATTGGCAAATCAAACCATGAACTATGTGTTACAGCACAAAGAATAACCAAAAAACTAAGGAATATGGATATTGTTTGTATATGAAAGCAACTAATGTAGCTACAAAAGGTACATAATGTCTGTGTCTTGTGTTTAAAAACCTAATACAGAACCCATTTCTATATTGCAAAGAAACATATTGCCTCTCTCCTCCTCCTACATCTGTTTAATTTTTGAGATAATATTCCTCCTGCCTGTTGCTGAGTAGCGCTCATGGCATGATAACAGACTTAGTTTCCTTTGGTTTGGCCATGAAGGATTGTTACTGTAGGACGGTTATTGGGCATTGTGTTACAGCCCTCAGTCAACTGTACAACTCAGCTGCATCTTTGATACCGGGGTTGCGCACACAAACCGTGAGCATTGCTGCTGTAGTAATTGACACCAATAAAAGGAAGCTGAGAAAAAATGGTCATAAAATAGGTCTGTCATTTTTGCGATTTGCCTTCCGTATTTTCTTGTGCCCAATTTAGAGTTGTTATTTTAGCTTTCTTTGGGTGATCTATAGTAACGGCATGTTCTCTGCTTTCCCCTGCTGCTCCTCTGTCCAGTTGTAATTTCTGGCGAATTAATTGTATCTAGGCCTTGGTAAATAATGAGTTGGGCCTTCGCCGCAACACTCGGACATTTTCTTCCTGGCTCTTCGTGTAAAGTCAATCTTGCCTCTTTCCTTCCGTACAGCCGTATATTCATAGGCCTTCAGTTTGCTGTAATAGTCTGAGAACTTGTTGTAGAGTATGGAGATTGGCATACCGTTGAGAATGATTCCAAATGCAATGCAGAGGAAAGCAAACAAGCGCCCGAGGTGTGTTTCTGGACACATGTCACCATATCCCACTGTAGAGATGCTGACCTATAGGCAAATCAATGGCAATTTATTATCCAAACAGGGGAGCGCGCACACCTGTCTTTAATGTATCCAGCTGGGGATACAGTGTTTCAGCATAGTTAAGCTATTTTGAACACTTGTCTACTAGAAATCTAAATTATTATACGCTGGCTATACATTATTCCCCTCCCTCTTCCCTATAGGCAACCATCCCAGAGTAGAAAAACTATCCTTAAATAATTAATCCCATTCGTGTAATTTAAAAATCTGTGTGTTCTGTTGTGTGCTGCAGAGGGCATCACTGAACCATCTGCACTCTGGTAGTGTGTATTAGGTCCAGCCGTGTGGACATGTATTCATGACCAGACACATCCAGGGATGACTCTATGCAAGTAGCTGCATAGAGGCTAGGTTGAAGCTGAATGGCAGCTTTGTGCCCTTTCCTTGTACTTAAGGAGGGGACACTCTCTTTCTCTCTCACACACACACTCTTCAGCCTAATAAAGTGGGCTTTGCAGATGGAAGGAGATGGATCAAATGACTTGCACCTTCATCTGTCTGGTGCACGAATGTGGTTAAGAGCAGAGCCCAGACTTGAGGTGTGTCTTCTAGCAGTGAAAGACATTTTAAAATCCTTCTCTCTGGGAAGCATGGTCCATCAGCTCATTTTAATATGGATTTTTTAAAATGAGGAGACTAAGGAATGTAAGTACTTGGCAAGGCTCCTTGCTATTTACACAAATTGGTTTTGTTTGAAGTGTATGTCAGCAGGCTTGAGTGATTATAAAATCCTGCCATGCTACAGGCACAGAGGGGATGGAGGCAGAGCGTCTGTGTAGAAACGGTTCTGGGTATTTTATCTGAAGTTTGGCTACGAGGAAGCCTTTTGTTACCAGATTTCAATGGCAAATGTAGCTGTTCCAGTGAAATCATTTAAGTTTCAGGAATTCATTCTTTAGGCATCACCACATTACATGACAGGGTGAATCCTGCAATCTCTATCTCTTCTAAGACTTTAATGAATGCCCCTCTTCATCCAGTAGGAGTTTTCCTGCTCTAGCAGACCCCAACGGGGAAGGTGTTGTGTTATCTTTGACATTACTATTGCAACAGTTGTTTTTTAAAAAAACTTTTATATGAGACTGAATTATTCGTCTCCAAATATCTGGTGATGTGACCTTAAAACTGCATCAAATATCCCAAACATTTAATGTAACACAGATCCCAAGAGGGAATTACCAGTCTACATCTACTACATCAGCGGTTCCCAACCGCCAGTCCGCAGACCGGTGGTGGGCCACGAACTGCTGTTAGTCAGGCTGCGGCACGCTGTCAGGCCACGCCCCCAGCTGCTAATTGAGCCCCACCCACTATAAGAGATATGTGCACCCATATGTGCACAAAGCGTTCTCTGCCTGCCCGCTTCCCCACACAGCAGCACAGTGAGCAGCATGGCGGATGGCTGCCCTGGAGTGCTGCGGCTGGAGCTGGGGCTGCAGTGAGGCTGTCCATACTGGGGGAGCCTCACTCTGGTCCCAGTTCTAGCTCCAGCGGCTGCTATGTGGCCCGGCTGGTGGGGCTGTGGAGGGTGGCTGCGGCTAGAGGCACCCCTAGGTCTGTCTCCCGCCTTGCTTCTCATGAGGGAGGTGAGCTCGAGGAACCAGCCATCCCGCGAGCCCGCTCTCCTCCCACCTGCACTGGCGCTGTCGGGCAGCTCCCTTCTCCCTTGGCGGAAGCCTCCCCCTGATGTGCACACACAGGGACCTGCCGCCACATGGCCACGCTGAACCTTGGGGTATAGCTTGGGGATATCCTGGCAGGGCGGCCAGGCTTAGCAGGGGCCACCACTACCCAGGTGGCTGGCGTGCGGTGAGGGGACAAGTCAGGAGAAGGCCTCTGAGCCGGAGTCAATGTCTCACCACATTCAGCCCAGTCTCTCCCCCGCTTGCTCCCCTCTTTTGCTCACACTGCTTGCTGCCCTTTCCTTTCCCTTCCCTTCTCCATCTTCCCCCAGTTCCCTTACTGTGTGCACACAGACGCAATGAAAAATAACATGGGACCGCTCAAAATTAATTACCAGGATGAATATGCAAATTAATTACCGTGATGAAACTGCAAATGTTTCTGTGCTGGTCTGTGGTATAAAAAGATTAGGAAACACTGTACTATGTATATTTTGGTGTTTGTAAACTTTGTATACATTTAGATGTGTGCATGCCTGCAAAAAAAAAAAAAAAAAAAAAAAGTAACCATGCTAGCACAAACACAGGAAGGTGTAGTCCCTGCCCAGTGCTCTTATGATTATAGCACTGAATTAATTTTTTAAAAGGTTATGGCAGGCAGTGCGCCAGCTTCTCCTCTATTAGTTTGAATGTTATTTCAGCTGAATGGAATAGTAGCTGACAAGATGGTGCTGCAGCTAGTGCTTCCTGTACCATAAAATTCATTAGTCATCTGGTTTAATGGCACTTAAGTCACTGGCATTGAATGATAATACATGATCAGTATCTTCAAATACTGAAGCTAGGTCTACACGCTAGCTTTTTCTGATCGCTTTTCCGGAAGAGGCTTTACCACCATTTGGCCCCGTCTAGACAGGGCTCCCCGAAAAAGCGCATTTGCTCTTCCGCAAAAAAAAGGCAGAAGAGCAAATGTGTTCCCTGGACGTGGCAGAGTTTTTCCGGGATATCCCCGCAGGATAGACATACCCGGAGTTGAAAGCAAGATACATATTTGCCATAGACTGACCCTACACAATTACCCCGTGCTAAGATTCTAGTCTTCCTAGGGTACGTCTAGACTACATGCCTCTGGCGACAGAGGCATGTAGATTAGGCTATCGGACATAGTAAAATGAAGCGGCGATTACCATGTGTGTCTGTTTCTCACTCTAGTCTGGCACTGTAGCATGCACCACACTGCCACTACGTCACAGCGGTCAGAGGATAACAGTAGAGCTGTGGCCTTCCAGCTCTTTCATTCTGAAGACCACGTTGCAAAGGAACAGCCTCTTCTTCCCCAACCGGCCTCCAGACTGAGTGCCTGGATGTTTAATGCTGCGGCTGAGGAGAAAGGATCAGTGGGCCATTGCTAATTCATAGGTGCTCCTGGCTTGGCTTTTAGGGGTTCTCTGTCAGCACCTAAGAGTCAAGTCCGCGGTGGTGCCGTAGCCTTTGCAGGTCCCTGTGCATGAATGATCGTTTCGACATCGCCGTGGGTTGAAATAGTACCGTTATTGCTGTGTGGGACTGTGTTACTCTCCTGAGGTGGTACAGGGATTGGATTCCTTTCCCCACTTCAGAAAGCTGAGCCCCCACTTCAGGAAAATGAAAGCACACATGCCAGCATTCCACCCTGCACGGGGAAAATCTGTACGGGCCCTGCTCTGTACAAATTGGAAATGGCTCGTCCTAAGAAAGTAGTATCCCCCACGATTTGGGAAACGCTGGGCGACAGACCAAAGTCCTCTGTTTAGTCACAAGCTCAGCACTGACAATGTCAATGAGAGGTTCCCCCTATGCCTCAAACCTCATCCGCAACCTTAACAATGAAAAGGTGCCTCCGTTTCCATGTCAGATCAGTCTCTGGCCTCTCAGCTAAGCCCACCAGAAACCAAGCCACTGGTGACTTTGTAATATGAACCTCTGCCCACCAGGAGCTAGACTGAGGCCACCTACTCATTCCACACGGACCTCCTGAATAGCCATGAGATGTCAGGTCACCAACTTCCAGTCACTACTGACTTATACTAGATTGAAACTAGTGACCGAGATATAAAAGGCTCTGTATCTCATTACCAATCCTTTGAGCCATTCAGACCCCACCTGATCTATTTTTGTCTGCCACTGGTATTGTATAAATAACAACCAAATGCCACTGAGCGTGTTGTAGAGATGGCACCTACAGCTGGACAGCTGCCCATAAATGTTTTATGGGGCCAGGTGGCTGCTGCTTCTTCTAATCCCATAAATTTGAGGATTTAATCAGAACAACCTTCTTTCATGCTGGTTACATGCTGAGTTAGTGCAGCCTTTTACAAACTCTCTCCCCCCCCCAAAAAAAACCACCAAACCCCTGTACAATATATTTATCACAAACTACTAGTAATATATTTCTCTGCAGTGCTGACACTAGAAATAAATGATACTCTTTTCCCTTCCTCATACAAGTCCTCTCCCTTTCTTTAATGAGCAGCCGTGTGTATGGCATAGCCCCAAATAGCCACCAACTTCCAGCTCTGCTTCACTGATTATACCCTGGTGCAGTAACAGATGTAAGCCTGCAGCAGTGGCTCTGTGTGTGTGTGTGTGAGTGCATGTCCTGTAACAGCAAAGCTCAGAATTCAGAACAGATGTTCAAAAATCTGTGAATGCCTTGCTGTTTTCAAACAGGCAGCAGCTCGAGCAGGGGAAGGAGTGACAGCTATATGGCAAAGTGCAATGCGTTTACTTACAGCAGCCCACCACCACGCATGGGGGATGCTGGTGAAGTTGTTGCTGGAGACGTCGTGCTCCACCGAGTAGACCATGGCGGAGAAGGCGAAGATGCCCATGGCAATGAAGAGCAAGAGGCAGCCCACCTGTTGGTAGCACTGACGCAGGGTAAAGCCAAAGGCGCGTAGGCCGGTAGAGTGGCGGGCCAGCTTGAGGATGCGGAAGATCCTCATCAGGCGCATGATGCGCAGCACTTGTCCCACCTTGCTCACCCGTCCCACCTTCTCAATGTCATGCTCGTGCTGAGAGCCTCGGCCCCGGGGCTGGTCCTCGTTGGCAAAGCTCTCCAGCAGCAGCTGGAGGTAAAGGGGGAGGATGGCAATGAGATCCACGGCATTGAGGGGGCTGCTCGCGAAGCGGCGCAGGTCTGGGGTGGAGACCAGCCGCAGCAGATACTCCAGGGTGAAGAAGGCGATGCAGAGTGTCTCCACGTGCTCCAGCATGGGGCGACTCTCTCCGCTTTTCCGGTCCACCTGCTGCAGCTCCTCCACAGTGTTGAGAGCCAGTGCCACCACCGAGACTAGCACGAAGAGGCTAGAAGCCACCCCCATCGCCTTGGCGCTGACAGAGGAGAAGGGCTTCTCCATGAGGTTCCAGAGGCGCCAGCGCTGGGGGCCGTAGTAGCGCATGTGGTGGAAGAGCTGCTCGTTCTCCTGGGACTCCGCCTGGGCACGCAGCTCCCGCTGCACCTTCAGCTGCTCGCTCAGCTCGTCCCGCCGCTCCTCAAAGCAGATGCGGCAGCAGCGCGGTGTGTACTTGAGCCGCACCCCCCAGTAGCTCAATTCCTCCAGGAAGCTGAGTGGGCACTGCTCGTCTCGCACCCGCAGCACCCCCGAGGCATAGAAGTTGTAGACCAACTGGAAGACAGCGGGGTCCCGATCAAAGAAGTACTCATCCCCCTGGACCGCGTAGTCATCACACAGCCCCAGCTGGCAACGGCGATCGGTGGACGTGGCCAAGCGGCCCAGGCGGGTCTTGGGATAGATAGCCACCGCCTGGTAGGTGAGGCTCTAACTTTTTCCACCTACATTTATGTTCAGCATCGATGAAGCAGAAGCTGCCGTTCTGGAGGAGAAGGTAGGGGGGCTGAGGAATGGTGAAGAGAGCTTGCTTCCTTCCGGAGAGGCTTCTGTATTTTGCAGCTGCCTTTCATCTTCCTCCTCCTCTTCTTCCTCCTCCTCCACATAATAGTGGTAATTCCCCTCAGTTCCCACAGACAGCATAGACTGCGAGGCCCATGGAGAAGTGGCAGAAACCCCACTCTTTGCCTCTAAGCTCATTCTTACTTTCACCTCTCCTGCATTCGTTTCTGGGGGAACAATATTTGTAGCAGCTCCTTTCCTTATTTTACAGTCTGAGAATGGGAATAGTCTCCTTTGAGTAAACTTCAGCATGATGCTTTTCTCTCCTCCTTCTCCTCCTCCTCCTCCTTCCTTTGCCGCCACCTGACTGAGGAACTAATACCAGTTTCCACTACCACCAAGGAGACAAATAAATGTTTCTTTCTTTCCCGCTGGAGCATCAAGCACAGCTGCAGTTTCACATTTCTCTCCCGTCCAGCCACCACCTCCAGTTGTTGTCAAAGCTCAGGCTGGGATACAGACACATGGGGACTGCTGTTGACCGCTTTAATCTTGCTGACAGGGAAGATCTGAGTGCTTAGAGAAGGGGATTTAAAGGCTATTATCCTGTTTCAGCGCTGGCTCCCTCGGACTGTGACGTGAATGATTATGGATCCATAATTCTGTGGATAATCAGTAGCAAAAGACAGAGTTTTATTGCTAATAAAAAAAGGGCATTTCCCAGCCCCCAGGTTTATGTGCTCAGGAGACTTTGAACCTGCAAAAAGTGGGGTACGCAGGGAAATAGAGAACTGTACTGATGCCTTTCACCAGATGCAGCTACAGCTTGGCTGACTGTTTTATAATAGCAATACAAATAATTCATCATTAATACATTGGCCTTATTTAATGATTGTTGCCCATAGTTCTTAAAGCTCCCTCCAAAAGGTGGGTAACCATTGATTTCCATTTTCCCGTGGCAACATGGAGGTGAGGTTGGAGACTCGGCATAACCACCTGTCAGGTTAAGGGCCGAGAAAACTCACCATGCATACAAGCCCACGGAAGACTCCAAGAAACCAGGGAAGCTCAGATTTGACTCCCTGGGTATTTCTAAAATCTGTCCGTCTGTCTATCTTTTCTGTCTAATTGTCTGTCTGCAAGTCTGTCTGTTCAAGAACTCCTCCTAAACCGTAAGAGCTAGGGCCACCAAATTTGGTGTGCAGCTTCCTCTTTGCCTGACTTAAAGCAAGGCTAGGATTTGGCTGTGCCAGGACAACCAGAAGCCCCTCGAAAAGGACTGTTTCTATAATATGCAAAGGGAGGGGCTGTTGTACAAGGGACATGATATGCGAGTGGCCATTGAGAGTGGCGAGCGCGCAGGGGAGAACTATCCTGCAGAGCATCCAGTGGGGGGGGGAGGGGGCACCGTACCACCCAGGTGTGGCCAGCAGGGTTAGGGCTCCACCATTTTGCCAGCCAGCACACCGGGTAAATAGCCCCTCTGACCCAAACCCGTTTCGCCTTCCAGCTCTCGGCTGCAGCATCGGAGGGAGTGAGAAAAAGGTCCCAGGCATCCAGGAAGGGTGGCCTGAGGGTAGAAAAAAGGCCCTCGGGAGCTGGGGGGCCCCCTGCCCTGAGCCCCTCCTCACTCCCAACCTTTATTTTTCCAGTCCCCCGGCCCAGTCTTCCCCACCCCCACCCACATTCCCTGAGTCCTGCCAATCCCCACACCGCCAATCCTCTGCCCTGAAGGACCCAGGCAACGCTGGGTAAGTCTGCTAATAGACTAACAGGCAGACTAAAAAAGGCTTTCCCCTCCCCACCCAGTGCTGCCTGCCTCTCTCTACTTTCAAACCTATTTTATACACCACAGAGAAGCAAAAGGCGCACAAGGTCATTTATGTTTCCTGGGCCAGTCACCTTTAAGTGTCAAATAAGGCTGGGTACCATTCAGGACCCAACTCTTCTTATTATTCTGGTTCCATTGAAATAGTTCAGAGGCCAGATTCCTGGTCCTGATTCAGTAACTTCCCATAGCCCCAGCAATGCTAACCAGCGTTACTACCACACTTGCTGCTTTGGGGGCTCCTCGGTGGTGTACAACTGCTGTCATGAAGGGGGTTACGGGTGTTGCCCTCTACACTGAATCCCTAGATGCCAGAACAGCCCCTTACAGGCTGTTAACCATCAATAGTTACAAGAGAAATAAAGATAACATGCTTCCAAGTAGTAAAAATTAACAAAGTAGGCTTGGCTCAAAGTGAAGTCCCTTACCACTTATAAAGTCCCAGTAATACGGCTGACCAAATTCTCAGGTCAGGATCTGCTCCCTAAGGCTGTTTCTTTTATCTTCTTGGGTGAGGAGGGTGTGATGGCTACAGAGAAAGAACTTGCAATGGTTTCACTCCTTGCTTATTGTCCACACCACCTCTGAAATACATTTTCTTGAGGGT